TTTTTTTTTTTTTTTTTTTTTTTTTGTTTTTTTGATTTGATTCTGTTTTGTGTTATTTGTTATTTTTTTTTTTTTTTAATACTCTGGCTGCTACCGAGTTCTACACGTGGTAGTTCGTCGTCAGCGTCAGATTGGTATAAGAGACAAGTACATTACTATATAAGTTCGTGGAAAAAAAAGAGGTCGAAAAGTGCTACTTTTGGTGTAAATTGGGGGGTGGACGGATACTTTTGCTAGGGTGCTGTATATTGAGGCTTTCTTACTTGGAGATAATATTTGGATGCTGTAAGAACCATCACAGTGATACGTCTCCTGAAACTCCGCGGGTGGTCTCTGAGGTCTCGAGCGGTATGAATCACCCCATATGGTTGGCTTCAATTAGTACAACGTTCACTTCAAGCTCTCTATTCGGTGGCGGGCTACTCGTCCGGTGATCGCCTGAAACGAGCTGAATTCAGTAGCACACTTTTTATATGATAAATGTAGCTAGTACCTTGTTGAAGGTATATCTGAGTGCTTTTTACCGGCGACATGGTCTGGCCGGACGCCTGATGCATCTATACTCCACCATAGATACACACTAGTACACACATGGCTAGATTCCCGATGTAAATGACGTGACGGGGTACGAGATTTGAACGTCCCTGTCCAGTAATTTGATTCATGCTCTGTTTTGCTGTCCATCCTGCCATCTTAGATCCATGCGTAGGTATCTACCCAAGTACTGCCTCTTATACCGCGACCAGGGGTTCAATATTTTCAACGGCCATGCATGATCAACATGCCACCCGCGGACAGCTGTTCTCTAGTCCCAACCTGTGGATTGGCAACCAAGCGTAGATCCCAGTTCAGCTGTGTCCCATGGCTCGGTCCACGATTAACCCCTGACAGCTACCTCTCCGGGTACGCAACAGATCATGCCCACTTGCTAGCTTCTACTGGCCTGGATGAATCGCCTTACCCTCCATGTTCACCTTCAGAAGTACAAGCAGTGGGGCGACTTCCGGCTTGAAGCTAGGTCACCGCCCTCTGTCTCTTTAAGAAGGAGGATACTCGACTACAAGGCGTCCTTCCTATGCTCTCCATCTTCCCATGCTAGGAACCGACAACCTATGGGAAATTCATTTCGTTTGAATTCAAAGGACAATAGTCACGATCGACATGCCTGGTATCAGGGGCAAGGGCTGTCGAACATGCAAGCAGCGACGCATCAAAGTATGCCACCTTGAACATCATATCTCTTGCTTTGATGTCTTCCCGCAATACGAGTGCCCCTCTGTATCGCAAAACTAACCGAGACTCAACTAGTGTGATGAGCGCACGCCGGTATGCTCCCAGTGTCAGAAAAGCAGACGTCATTGCACAGGCCCAGATTCCCCGTTTCGATACCAGTACGGCTCGGCAGAACAGCGCGTGCAGCTTCTTCAGGCATTGGATGCCATTTCCATGGACGAGAATGATGGCAGCGTTACTTCCCATGGCCCGAGCCGGAATCTGGTTGCCCAGCCTCTGGAAATAACGCATCTTCTGGCCACAGTCGTCCCACTCAATCAGTCGGAGCGCTTGGGCGCAAGTCTGATCTCCGCACTCGAGACACCCTCTGGATTCGGTGCAAGCCTGCAGCAGATGGGATTCTATTTCGGGAAGCTTCCCCCTCGACTGGGTCGAAGCCGGGCACTGGACGCTGCAGTCAATTGTTTCTTGTACTCATTTACTGCTGTCTCTGCTGGTCAGCCTCGAAACCAAGCCCTCGAGCTAGCCCGCTATACCACTGCCATCTCCGTGCTTCGACAGGAGCTCACCCAGTACGACGACAACCGCCTCCTCTCCACGCCGTCTGAAACACTGTGCGCGTCGCTCCTCCTGGCTCAGTATGAGATTCTGAAGCCGGGCCCCGCCTACTCTTTCGTCACTCTTTCAGGTGGTGTCTCTGCAATCCTGCGAGGTTGTGGTCCCGGCCGCGCGCAGGCGTCCGAGTTTGAAGCTGCGATCTTCATGACCCAGTATCCGAGCATTATCACGCAGTGCATGTTGCGCGGCGAGGACTGCTTCCTCAGTGGGCCAGAATGGGTCAACGCAATGCGTAGGACCGATGGCGCAGACTCTACCAGCCCTCTCATGGCCGAGCTCTGGACGGTCCTGGCGAGCCTGCCTGGGCTCTTGGTTCGTGCCAGAGAAATTGACCCCGCGTCTTCGCCCTCGACCTCATCACCACTCTATGCGGAACTGCTCTCTCAGATATACAGCATCCGCGCCGCTATCGTCATCCACTCTGAGACCGTTGCTCGCACCCTCTCGACACCGGGCGTCCACGCCACCTGCCCACGCGCCTACCGCGGCCCAGTCCCCGCGGCGGTCTTCCGCCCCGAGAACACCCCTGAATCAGTACAACCCGCGCGGTCCATCAAACAAGCGACCTTCTACCACGGCTGCGTCATCCTGATCAACACGGTGCTGCAGAACTTCCTCGCGCCGCGGCCCAACCCGGCGCTGTCCCTCCAGACCGCCCAGTCGGCGACCTTTGTTCTAGAGACGCTCGAATTCGCTGCCACTACTAAGCCCTTTGGCTGCTTCTACATGACCTTTGCGGGCCCGCTGTGCTACGGCGTGCTCGCCGACCCGGTCCAGCAAGGCACACTCCTCGCCGAGATGAAATGTATTTTTGACGGGCTCGGCATCTTCTGGACCCACGAATCGATGCGAGAGGTCTTCTATGCGCTGACCAGGGGCGGTTGGCGGAATCGAGTCGTCTTGACGGCGACGAGGGCGCGGTGAAGCGTGAAGGACATGGAGTGAAGCCCTCTAGGTAAAGGTATGTATCTATGTAGGTACCTAATATATCCAAACTATACAGGTCCTAAGCGGAATGCTCAAAGTGTCTGGGACCGTGAATCACGGATACCTAGGTATATCTGTATGTAATGTAGGGTAACGTATCTTATCAAGCCCTCACTTTGGTTTGGTAGAGAAGATCCCACATGTCCGAAGTCGCATTGATGGATGGATGTGATGACATCCCTGCGTAGAGGAAATTCAGCTGGTGCTGGCGCCGAGTACCAATTTAGACTCGACTCGACCCGCTGCTTCTCATTACTAAGTACCTAGGTATCCAACACTACCTTCTCATTAGTCTCGTATCCCGCACATCAAAGTGTGAGTCAGAAAATGAGACACTGTGTGAGTGAATAACTAGGTACGCTAATCTTTGAACCCTATCCTATCCTGTCGTGTCCTGTCCTGTTGATTGTACTCGTACATTTCATCAATCATCGACCCCTCGACTCCGGCTCGACAGATCGGCTCGAGGGAAAGACGCGTCTCTAACTCTCCACTTCCACCGGCACATCAACATCTGCAGAACCGCGTAGTCAATCTGGCTGCTTCGACCAGTCCTTGCACAACCCGAGCAAGGTCCGACAGGCTTTCCCAAATTCGACCTTGGGGTCGAACGAGCGCCATGATCCCTGCGCCTGGTGCCATACTCGCGCCGACGAGTCCGTGACTGGCTTCGAGCCCATATTGCCGTATTTGCCTCGACCGGGGCTGTCCGTTGTGAGCATCTGAATGTCAGCTATCATGGAGAGGAAAGGCCGCATACCTAAACCCGGTGATTGGCAAGATCAAAACGTCGTCGACCAGCTTGCTTTGGCCACCGTCTGCTAATCCAGTGAGAGCGTTCCACCGCAGTCCAATCCGTTCCTCTAACCAAGTCTTTGCTGCGACGGTCACGGCAACTGGTCCTGTCAAAGACAGCGGTCCAATCCGTTGTAGCTCCCTTACGGCTTGGGGAGCGGTGATATCTCCCCTGTTGCGCCTTGCAACATCTGCTAGCCTCCGTTGAAGAGTGTCCATGAAACGTAAAAGAATAGGGTGGCCAGGACTGGAAGCCAACGCCCACTGTGTGAGTTGGACCGGGTACGAATACCCCATGCGCCAATAGTCACTCTTGAAAGGCACACAATCAGCCTCAATGCCGAGAATGGTGCTTACTGTGTTGTAGGAGGAATACTTCAGTCCCGTTACGGCGTCGGTCCAGGGTGCAAGGTCGGAAGCAGAAACCCAAGAGACAGGGCGACGAAGGGGTCGCGTGTCCACGTCTGCGTACTGCAAAATCGTCAATCTTTCGCCAATGCAGGCATGATTTGATTCGGGGACGAGAAACTTACAATCCCGCCAAACCATTTCAAAACCAGAACGCGGAAGACATCAGCCCGCTCCACGTTCGAGGGCAAGGAAACAAAGCGATGGACAAAGTCAGGCTCAAATTCGGCCAACATTCGCACAATGCCTTCATCCTCCCAGAAGAAGTAAGCCATGTCGTCAGCCACTACACAAGATATCCATTTCTCCACACTGGTGCGAAGCAGATCCGACCAAGTGTCAACACGCCGATTCTTCCATGTTTGGTGCAGAAGTAAGGGAATGGAAGACTGGTTGATGAACCGGTGCTTGTTGGTGTTGGCAGCTTGCGCAGCCAGAAGAGCCGCATCAACTATCGTCTCCGGCTGAACACTGGCAGATGACAACCAGGAGGGTGGAATATACCATGCTGAAGCTTGTCAGTGAAAAGCCGAAGCAAGAAAAAACGGATTGCGGTAAAGCAATCTTCGGTTGTCCGTCGAGCACTAGCACTGGAACACGCACCTCCTCCAGTACCATTGAACGAATGCACGTGTCGCCAAAGCAAGGGGTATCGCCGCTCCAAGACTTCGGGCTGTGTCTGCACTCTATGTTTTGGGTCTGGTAGAAGCAGATACCAAATAGCGAAGGCGGACAGAACAACAGATGCGACGAAACGGCGCAGGAATTGGCGAGAAGACAGCCAAGCCACTCTCATACTTGGGAAGTTAAGAAACACGGCAAAGCGCGTGCGCAAAAGGTGACAGAGGAGTATCTAGGGAAAAACGATCGACGTGAACAGACACTTAAGGGAGAGCGAAAGACAACAGCGCGGCTTGGTCCAAGGGTTTGCATGGACGCATGCTTTGAAGCGCAGATATTAACATTTCTCGAGGAAGGGTGTAAGAATCAGCGATGACGGTTGTTGCGACAGAGTGAATTCCAGCTGAGTCTTTACGAGTCCAGGCCTCACCATAGCACATAGCACAAAGCTTGGACGGGATCTGCCAATGGTGAGAAACCTGGTCATTGCCAGCGGATTTCAAGGAACCACGGGTCAGGAACCGCGGCGATAGTACGGGCACTGGCGCGGGTAGTGGTGATGGCGATGAAAGATGGCGCGTCGATGTGTGTACATTGGCATATCAAGGACAAGCGACAATGCCAGTGGATTTCCCAACGTGCTATAAAGGGATCGACGTGATTGGTGTCAGTGTCAGTGGCGCATTCTGGATGGACAAGGAGAATGTTGTTTGGTGTCTGCGGCGCCGGAACAACTTAATACCGGCCAGCACCTGAGGATCCTCCTCATCAAAGGGGCTCCAGGGGGTCAAATGTACAAACAGTAGAAAGAAGTCGTCAAGTCTAGAGGGAAGTGCCATAGATGTCGCTGTGATTAGAGGCACAGATTGTCTCCCAGCAGAATGAGACGTCGAGATTGATATGTTGTTAGCAATATACGACCATAAGCATAAGCAAAAGGAACACGGAACATGTTTTGTCGAAGTGAGAAATACTCACAAGGCCGACACTCAACGATTTATGATTAGCCGTAGCTGCAGTACGGTATCCCACATACTCGCGACACGCAACCACGATACTACGACTGCGGAAAGTTTGTAGCTTCACGAATAAATCAGTCCACCAATTGTATACACTGCACCCTCCCACTTTCACCATGATTTCTCTTTGTTGTATGTCCGGGCGAGTAGCATCTGGTTGTTGTAGATCACTCCGTCGTCTCCAACCTTATAATATACCCCGCCGGCCTCTCCAACCTGCGAAACAAATTCGTCCACTTTCACAATCAACTAAACGCTCTCAATATGCCAATCCTTTCGAGGCCGCCAGAGCTCAAGCCCGGGAGAAGAATCGAACCACTCTGTGTGTACACTGTAATAAGGATAACGGTCTGCCAGCCGCTGACGGAGCTTAGATACTATGGACTGAGTGCGGGAATCCTGCTTCTTGCACTTTCCTATGCTTCGGTTCCTCTTTATAAAATGGTCAGCACCACCCGAGAGAGCACCACATGAGAAGCTCACGATGCTAAATCCTTCCCAGATTTGCCAACAAACCGGGTGGTCTGGCCAACCTGTCAAGGCCCACGATTCCACCGGAGACCCAGCCCTTCGCTTGAAACCCGTCGAAGACCACCGTCGTTTGCGTGTCACCTTTAACGGCTCCGTGTCCGACATCCTCCCTTGGAAGTTCACGCCGCAGCAACGGGAAGTTCGGGTTCTTCCTGGCGAGACGGCCCTCGCTTTCTACACAGCCACGAATAAAGGAGACGCAGATATCATTGGCGTGGCTACATATTCCGTCACACCGGCACAGGTGGCGCCGTACTTTAGCAAGATCCAGTGTTTTTGCTTTGAAGAGCAGAGGTTGAACGCAGGCGAGACGGTTGACATGCCAGTGTTCTTCTTTATCGACCCGGAATTTGCCAAGGATCCTCAGATGAGAGGCATCGACACCATCACACTCAGCTATACGTTCTTCAAGGCAAAATACGACAAGAACGGAGTGTTGACTACCATACCCATGGCCATGGCAGGGGCATAACTGAGAAGTCAACATGAAGAGAGGCAATAGACAGACTCACAACGTCGTGCATGATCGTCGAGTCCGCATCTCCGGAGCAGGCGTAGACCACAACGGTGCCTATCGTCCTTTCAACCACTCAATCAGATCATCCACGCCCCGATCGGGTGGAAACACAGGATACCACCATTTAACCACCTTGCCATCCTGCAACGCAATCATCGATCGTCTGAGGACCTTCTGCCCTTCCCAGTCGAATGTCGGCAGATTCAAGCCTCTCTGGAATTCCAATTCCTCGTCACTCAAAAGATCATAGGGAAGATGCAGCCGCTCATGCACCTCCGCTTGGTAGGCGGGCGATTGGGTGGAGATGCCATAAATATGGGAAACCCCTAGCCCATGCAGTTCCGGCAGACTGTCCCGGAAAGAGCAGGCTTGCGGCGTGCATCCTCTCGCGCCTGGAATGGAATTCCACGAGTCGGGAACGGTCTCGTTGGGTGCGCCTGGTCAAAACCCTGTTTCAATATTGGAAGGAATGGAGTTTGGGCAACTAAGGGTAAACGAGATTGGAGGAAAAGATGGACAATACCTGTCCTGGGATAGCAAAATACAACGGTCAAGCCTTTCAAGCCGGCCAGATTAACCCTTTGCGTTGGATCGCGTGCAATGGGAAGGCTGAGGCTGGTAGGGATAGCAAAATCGCTGAGATGGTTATATGCACCGTCGTCCTTGGGGACGGGAAGGTCGGCCGGGAATGTAGTGTCTGTGCAAGAGGTGAAGGCTTGTCAGCTCTTGATTCGGAATGACTTCAAATGCTCCGGGCTATCCTGAGGGGATGCAGGACGTCTGAACAGCCACGATGACACCCATCGAGTGATGGATCACTCATGCGGAATTGGGTGGCATGAGATGTGCTCGCATAGGCTAACGTGAAGGGTTGTCAATAGCACGTACGAGCCATGACTCGACGACGCGAGTTCTCCACTCAATATTAGTATATCAAAATCCCGTCAAGCTTGATCGTCGAACGTGTTTCAGCAAAATCTGTCTTGCTATTCAAGATCTTTGGTTTGCGGGAGGGGAGTGCAAGAATTAAACTCGAGTTCGTGTTGGAGGCTACTGAAAGTCGGCGTAAGCCCGCTTTATCCCGCGTGAGCTCTTGTAGCCCAAATCAGGTCAACTCCTCGCTGCCCTGTGATAATTAAGATACTGTGACCTGGGAACTCGGCACGCCTGCCTCTTGGGGAGACATTTCTTTTCACGTCGTGAGCCAGAGACGGCGCAGCTCCATGAGTTTTCGGGGACGTCCGGTCTTGCTGTTGGCGAGCGAGTCGAGGGACTCAAACGGTGCAAATAACGTGATCGCAGTGAATAATCCAGGTGAAGACCGACACGGAACCAGTCCCAGCATTTCCTAGTAAGATAGATAGATCCAGCTATTCTTTTAGTGTAAACCAAAAAAGAACGGGAGTGTATGGATGGATTCACGGATTTTATCACGATTTTGACTAAAAGTTAATCACCTAACAAGTGTATCCTACTAGGCCATAATTGTCTGTGGCCACACTGTCCGACATGTATGAGCTGAACCTTCAAAGGTCCCGTGCTTGTAGTGCTGCTCTACATATCTCTAGGCATATACTTCTCTCGCCATGTTCCCCCCCACGTGAACAGAATGCATGGCACTACACAAAGTGCGAGGTTGCAGAATGCTAGCACACTGTTTCCCCAACCGAGACCTAGTCTTTGGTAAAGGACTGGGCCAAGGAGCGGAAGGAGAGATCCTCCAATACACCTTGTCATGGTTGTTGCTGCCAGAGCGGAGGCTGAGAACTCGGTGAAAGAGTCGACCAGATATGTCTGCAACGAAAGCTATAATACGTTAGTACACTGGAAGAATGTTTGCGCTGGCTCTGGGATCGCTCACCTGAATGGTCGTGACGCCCATACCAAAGAAGTATAGACCCAACATGGGAGCAAGCCAGAATGCGTGGTACCGTGCACTCCAGCCATACCAGAATAAACCGATGACCACCAGCGGCAATCCAATCATCATAGCAGGCAGTCGATATTCAGCTTGCCGTTTTCCGTCATTCCGCTTCATCAAGAACTGAGAGATACCATCACTCGTCCTGCCGAAAACGAACGCCGCAAACAGAAATCCTGTCGTGACTCCTAGGTACATGAGACCGGAGGCACTCGTAGAAAACCCGTACTCGTCCTGAAATATACGCCCCAGGGAGGCGAAGATCAAGTTCATTGTTCCTGCCACAATAGATATGATAAGTGAACAAGCCAGGATGATCGGAGAGAAAAGTAGAAGCTTTAACGGTCTCTTGATCGCCCCTAAAACCTCGAAATCTGGGTCTGGCGCTCTGGGATTTGGAGTGTCGATATCTGGTGTCAATGGTCTCTTAGCAGCCCGAATAGCCTTGTCAGCAGATTCTGGCTTTGTAAGACTTGGGTTTCCAATATCCGATTTCAACGGTGTCTTGATTACCGGAAGAGTAGCAGGGCCTGCTTTGACGACATCCGGAACATGGGCATCCGAACTCCCAAAGCGTGAGGTGGTCGGTGAGCGAATAGCCTGCCTCATCTCTGGTGTCTGGATCTCCTGAGATATATCATCAACAAGGTCTGGATTTGTATGATTTGGAGTAAAGCCACGCGGTCCGCCATCGGCTTTTCGTCGGCATAAAATGGTCGGTGCATGAGTCTCCCTTAGAATGAAGAAGGAGGATAGCAAAGCAAAGCCAGCCTGTAGAACATTAGCGACGAAAGGGGTCCGCAAAAGATGCGAAACATTTTACAAATATTGTGATGATCCAAAAAACCCATCGCCAACTTTGGTGCTGAATGATGAATCCACCCAAGGGCGGTCCAAGAAGATTTCCGAATATAGGACCTGAGTGGTAGATGGCCATGGCTAGGCCCCTCTCCTTGACCTCGAATAGATCGTACACCATCGCACCGCCTATGGCGACAGGGGCGGCACCGAAACATCCTGCAATGAAGCGGAAGGCCACTAGCATGCCGATGCTTGAAGATAGCGCACAGACCACGGTAAAACACATGAACAAGGCCAGGCAGGATCGGTAGATCACAACACGACCATAGACCTCCGAAAGTGGAGCGAACAGTAGGGGACCAACGGCGAAGCCAAGCACGTAAATTGTCATGGTGAAGGTTGCAAGTGTGTTGTTGTGGCTGTTGAAATCTCTCTGCATAGCAGGTATACCCGGAGCATACAACATGGACGTCAAGTGCCTGCACAAATATTAATCTGAAGTGCCTTGCAGAAGACTGTGTATCAACCAACGTGAAAAGCTCAATAAAGCTCACCAGCGCAATGATGCTATATTTCCACAAACGCGACCAGTTACGAGGATTTTCGGCATTTTTGTTATCATTCCAGTTCTGGAGAGAACTGCCCTCTCTCACACCACCTTCTAAGTGCCGAAGAGTCTCATCATGGACACCTTGATCTTTGATGCTGAAGTTGACACTTCCATAGCTTGGACCTATATTAGAGGCAAGAGCTTGCCCTTCACTTGGAGAGGGTGTCATATTCACAATGACCACTTTGAGGGTGACAGGTGAGAGTTTGTTGCCATCTCCAAGTCAGTCAGCACCAACTGAAGAGAGGAGGTTGGGCACCGTGTCTGTGCAACGAGGCAGGTCCACCGGCATTCTCAGTCAACTTCAAGTTGGGTGTCGTTCCTTCCCGCAACCTCCTAACCGATGATGCTGTCACTTAAGCTAGGCCGACGCTGGGAAGCCACAAGTCTCAGCCTAGGTAGTGCTACTGTTACCCTACTGGCGCCCTATTCGCGTGTGTGTATTTTATTTGAACGTTACCAAGCTGGACTGACAGGCGTCCGCGCCGTATACCTGCGTATCAACGTCAGACACGTCAGTTCTGCGCGTGTGACTGGTCTAGGATAGGCTCGTGGTGCGTCATACAATTGGTGATCAATCCATCAGGTGCTCTACCGGTTAGCCTCTAGCCATGAAGCAGCTAGTTAGTGGCAGGAGTGCCAGAACTCTGAAATGACTTCAGCAATCCCCATTCTCCCTGTGGGCTTCCCCCTAGGTGTCCATCAACACGCCGCTTGTTCCAGCGGCATGGCAGCCATGACACCTGAAACGTTGCTGGTAGTGACTTGTGAGAGCACTGAAAAGTTTACCAACGGCCTAAGCACCACGGGCGAGAGTCATTTGGAAGCTGATATGTATTTCCTGAAGCGCGAAACGCTGTATGAGGCGGAAAAGCCTTACGGAATGCGATATTACGCTGACGGAGTTGCTCAATCCAACATACGTCGCGAGAAGCACAAGATTACCCTGAATGACATCCGCAAGCTTGAGGAGCCGCCGTCGGTGGGCGTGCAAGGCTTTAGCGTCATGCCATTGGAATCCAGAATGACCTATGAAGACTTCAACGACTATACCAAGATTAAATCTGTCTATCATGAAGATCTCATCTCGGCCTTGAAGAAGAAGTTGGGTGCCAAGCATGTCTTTGTTATGGACAACGCGGTATATTTATGCTGGTCGCGACAGACCTCAGACCGAGTCTCATCATGGAACTAGGTTCGCCGTCGCGAAGCGCACTTTCCGGTCTCTCAAGGAAGAAATTATGATTGGGATCAACCAACAGCTATGTGTCACATAGGTGTGAATCCTTGATTCCCAGAGCCTCAGAAGTTACTAACAGGACTTAGACTTCACACACGATGAAGCTGTTCGCATGTTAACAACTCTCTACAACAAGCACGCATCTGAAATTCTGACTTCCCGTTGGCAGGTCATTAAGTGCGTTGACACGCCTGGATAACTCAGCCATAGCTAACAAGGCCTGCTTAGTGTGTGGAAGCCTCTGCGTGGTCCAGTACGAGACTGGCCTTTGGGAATTGTTGATTCTAGAACTGTTGATTTCGAAAACGACACCATCCCTTCGGATGTTGTCTTTCCAACATGGGTTACGGAGAACATGCAAGTCATGTATAGTCCAAGCTATCGATGGTACTACTTGTCCGACCAGATGCCAAACGAGGCTACCATATTCAAGAGTGCTGATTCTGATGTGTCACAACCGAGTGGTATGTCTTCGCAGGGTCGATCCATGGCGAAAACAACTGATCTGTGACAGCGTGCCCCCATGCAGGATTCAACAGCCCTAACACCCAAGCTGGGGATCCGGCTCGAGAAAGTATTGACTGCCGCGCATTTGTGTTCTACGCAGATCTAAAAGAGTACCCTCAGGAGGTGGGAAAGCTCTTTGAAGGTATCCATGGTCACATGGTATAACTTTTATCAGTTTACTGTCTAGGATAGAAGCTCGAGCACGTCGACGAGAAGGAAGTTTGTTCTTGTACTTTGAACACTCTGCACCTATGCTATACGATGTTATGATTGATTCAACGATTTTTGCCTGATCTAGTTTGCTTACAACACATGCCAAACCCCTGGAGGGCTTTCAATTTGCTGTCGCAGGTATGAAAATCGTTTCCGAGCTTGTGACAATATCCTCTTTGCTCACAGTCCACTACGACAAAACTATGTTTCCATAGCTTTGTCGGCTGCTTTCATCTCTTTCACCACGGGTGGGCCGCGAGTGGTGTTCCCATCCATGACCACAATCTCCCCTTTTGCAAATCCATGATCGGTGTGAGTCCCTCCGGCAACGGGTTGGCTCGTTTTCTTGGGCCAGTGAGCCTTCCACGGTTGAGTCTTTTCGACTTTTAGGGAAAGCATTGCAGCGCTATCGTTTCCTTTAGTCAAGGTTTATTCTCGAGGGCAAGACGGTTGACCATACGTACAGTTTGTTTCCTTCAAGATCGATCAAGCAACTGTGCTTAGGCTCTCTGCCTAGCATAACAAACCTGACTGGAGGTGGTTGATATCACTGTTGGTAGTATGACGAAGGTATGGTGGGTGGATGAAAACATGGACACTGTCTTTATGTCCTTTGCCTTTTGCGGCCCAAGCACACCCCTCTTCTGGTCGCAACAACCAGGACGTCATGCACCCTGTGTCAACGTGTTCTCTTGCAACTAGCTGTTAACGTCGGGCTCCGTGGGTTCATGGTACAGGAAAGACGCTTCCATGCCCACTTCTACCAACCAAAAGCTCAATCACCAAACCGGTGTATTGTGATCACCAGACGCACTCGATAACAACCAGTAGGGATGAAGAGTGATTTTTTCAGCGATACACAATCCATAAAAGTGACAAAGCTTCTGCGTCTTTTCAAGTTTTACATAGTGGCTGCTTGCAGGGCCAGGGTCCATCCCTGACGGGAGGACGCCTGTACCGTTGATGCGTGGCAAACAAGCTCCAACCTTCAGAGTGTTTGGGTAGACCAAGAACTGAGTGCTGGGCTTCTGAGCTGGTACAAGAACTTGTGGCCAATCAGTGCCTGCATGTTGCGATTAAGAATATATATTTATTTTGCAGTGCTACAATAGATCAAATTTCCGGAGTCTTGAGATTGGGCGCAGGAAGGGCTGCACGGTTTGTTTCAAAATTCACGTTGGGTCCCGAAGTTGGCACGAGTGATTGTCCTACTCGAAGTGACTGGCACTCTTATGTTACTTGGGCGTTCACGGCCGTTCACTGCACTATGCCTTCCAGACGTAATTTTATCCCTGCCTGCCTGCCTGACCTCGTGTCACCACAACGCCTCTACAATCAAAAATCCTAGTGAGTCACCCGACCTCTCACTACCAAGGTGCAGAAGAAAACGAGCCGAGTCATGCCGCCATTGTTATAGAATGTGGCTGAGCTCTCGTCGCACAGACACTTTCCGCGACTTCCGTCACATTTGACACTCCCGAGTTCATGGCGACTTTTGATACCCAAGTCGGCAGCAGATTGACAATATCAGAGGCTTTTTCCAATCCAAACCCCAATGTGGATTTGGTCCTGATACCTGGAGTTGGCACCGCGGCTGTCCGGGAATGGGGAGTCTGTCAGCAATCATGGCTCTCGATGTTAGAGCGAGAAGAACACACCCGCCTCAGAATTCTCGAGTTCCAGTACCAAATTCCACTTGATGACCACTTTTCCTGGCAATTCTTCCTCGACCAAGGCGCAAATCTTCTCCGCGAACTCTCTCAGCTTCGGAGTGCCACCGATGCACAAAAGCGCCCGTTGCTTCTTATGTGCCACAGTCTTGGAGGATTCATCCTCAAACAGGCAATATCTATTGCAAACTTCCAACATCCGAGATATTATCTCCTGCTCAATGCCCTAGTTGGCATGGTGTTCCTTGGCACGCCGCATAGTTCACCAGGAGACGACACTCTCTGGGAGCAATGTTTATGGATTTTGAGAGCGGCCAACCCGGGGATGTCAAACAAGCAGGCGCTACTCCAGAAGAAAAATGACACATCACTGTTGACTAATTTAGGAGCTCGTTTTCAAGATGTCAATACCAATTTACGCATCTTGTCTGTGTATGAAGAGAGGAAGACCGTCATTCCCCGAACTTTCACAAGCAAGAAACTGATTCTTGTTGACTTGGAACTGGCGAAGATCGGCGCACTGCGGGAGCAATGCTTCGGTTTACCTCTGTCACATCTCGATCTATGCAGTCTGAAGGATGAAAACGGTGAGCCCGACATGCATATCGTCGACTTCATGCGAACTGTTTTGAGATACTCTATCAGCAATGTAGAGGATCGGATGCGTTCATATCGATCACGAACTCCATCTGACCACAGATCCGACAGTGGCGGCTCGAAGGAGGCTGCCGAGTATGTCCTCAGCCGGAACGAAGGAAGCGCAGAGGCTGGAAACACTGGAGAGGGCCAATATGGATCCACGACACTTGATCTGGAGGTGATTCCCATGGTTGAGGCTTTCGCTCCGTCAAGAAGGCAGGCGGTATTGCCATGCAGATCCCTGGGTGGCTACCCGCGGAATAAAGAGTTCACAGGCAGGGTTCGCGAATTGGAATTGCTTGACAGCGTATTGCTTCCTTCTCAAGACCGTCTGGTGTCTTCCGAATCTCAAGCATCGAGACATGTTACTCTCTGTGGTATGGCCGGTCTTGGAAAGACAGAACTCGCTTTAGAGTTTGCACATTCCCGTCAAGAACGATTTGATGCTGTTTTCTGGATCCATGCTGACACTGTGAACAAGCTAGAGCGTGATTTTGCCGATATCGCCGTCAATCTGGGGCTTGAAGATGATAAAGAACCCCGGGATCTCGTGGTCAACAGGGAGACAGCAAAAGGCTGGCTGTCAAAACCCACGAAGCTCTTAGATCAAACACACGATACTGTCGGCCAGACGGAGGCCTCTTGGTTGATTGTATTGGACAATGCAGACAACCCGGACGTTATCAGTGAATGCACACACATATTTGGATCTGGATCGTGGTTGATCACCAGCCGACATCCACTGGCGAAAACATCATTTTCTCGTGATACCACAGTCCTGGACCTGGAACCACTGGACAATCACACAGGCGCCCAGCTTCTCCAGAGATTGACCGGCGCAAACGACGACGACCATCTCTCGTTGATGGTGTCACAACGACTTGGCGGACTTCCACTGGCTATTGCTCAGATGGCTGGTGTCATTCGCCGCCAGTATATGCTTCTCAAAGATTTCCTAGAAGTTTATGAAGATGACACGAGAAATCCGATGGACTCTCCAACGGGGTCGCTGAAGTCGTTGAACGTCCTAGAGCTTGAGCTGGAGCAAAGACCGGCGAGAGCCAGAGGCTCGATCGCTTCCATTTGGGCTATTGACACGCTGACGCCGTCCTCGCGGAGTTTACTAGAGGCGATGATCTTTCTGGACGCAGATTGCATACAAGACTACTTGATGAAAGACTGCTGTGCTCAAGTAATCACGGATGCATCTTTTCCCAGGCGTCTAAAGGGGTTCTTCACGGCCCGTGCTGCCTTGATGAACAGCTCCTTATTGAAGACGGTTAATGACGATACTGGCGTGAGGATTCATAGGGTCCTTCAGGATGCCGTCAGAGTGAACTCGAGACGCAAATTGGACGTGATCTTTGCAGACACGGTGGCTCTCTTGTGCGAAGCGTGGCCTTCTGCTGCCATGCACAAGATCCACGACGTCGAGCGGTGGCCACGATGCAAAGAAATCTACCAGCACGTCAACTATCTTCGAGCTGAGTACAAGGAGCAGTTGCTCGAAGGCAAGAATCTATCGAAGTTTCAATACGCGAAGCTGTTGTATGAAGCTGGATGGTGAGTCAAACATTGATGACGCGTTGAGGCGTTTTCCAACCCTATTTTTCGGAGTTTTGACTAACCACTGTACTACTAGGTATCAACACGCAACAGGAAACTCTTGTGCTATCCGCGACATGCTTGACGAATCATGGAAAATTTGCCAGACTTGCGAAGAAAGCCAGCAGAGTCGAAACCTACTCGCGGACATCCATTACACAATGGGTGCCATAGCTAGTGAGACCAACGATCCGGAATTGTGCATGCAACATACAAGGGCTCTCCTGGATATGAGAATGCAAGTTGCCGAGAAGACTGCGATCAGAGATGTACGCCTAGCCATTGCCTACAACGAAAATGGAATAGCAAGAATGATGTCTCGCGACTTTGACGGAGCCGAGAGGTGCTTTGAGAGCGCGATTGACGTGTACAGTTCGCTTCCGGACTTCCGAAAAGACATGAACACCGTGTCACACGCAAATCGAGGTTTGGCTGCTTGGCTGAAAGGTGACTTCACCCGTGCAATCAAGATATTCGAGGATGCAATTCAAGACCGGGAAGAGCTTTTCGGCTTTCTGGATAAAGAGAATTTCCGGTGAGCTAACCTACCTCCCTGCATAAACCCTTTATCGCTTGATGTAATGCTAATATTTCAACAGTTGTGGGCGCTTGTGGTATGGTCTGGGAAACGTGAGATGGAGCCTCGGAGAATTTAAGCAGAGCTGGGAATGCCATCAAAATGCCTTCAAGCAAGCTCAGGCTACCGTGGGCGTTCGACATCATCGCTTCGCCGACATTTGCCATCGAATTGCACAGCATTTGCTCCGCCACAGCCACCTCAACCGTGAAGATCGAGCCTTATCGAAGTGGGTGCTTTGTGATAAATACCACCAAGTTCGACTTGTTTGAAGCTGACTGTAGCCCAGAACACATCTCGAGCAAGCTCGAGAGGTTATCGACCAAGCTTTGGGGATCTGGGGCACGCACCAAGCTACCTATAGACCAGAACTGGCGCGCTCCTCCTTCCTCAAGGCCAAAATCCTTCATCGCGCCGGTGCGGTAGACGATGCTTCAGCGCTTTTCAAATATGCAGCCAGATCATGGAGGGAACTCTCCGCAGGTGCCAACAAACCGGATCGGGACTTGACAGAAGAAGATTTCGATGAACTTGTCACATTCTGGTCCAAGTGATATTTCAATGTGAGAGTAGAGTGTTCGAGATGAGGAAGGCGGGGTCTTGGAACATTGGACCAAGGCTAGAACATCTCTGAGCCAACCCGAACTGCACATGGCCGGCCGGAAGTGTCGAGTACAGCTGTTGCTGCACTAATCAGATCAAGATCCTTTCCGGGTACTCCCAGCAGGTTCACGCAAACGGGAAGTTGTTCTTGACGTTCGGTGATGCGGGATTCAAACGGGATTTGTGCTATTGGAATGACAAGATCTGGGCATCCCAATATAGGAGACAGGAAGAGGGAATCGAACCCGCTTTGTACGGTGGGTGGGTTAGGGGGATGATCCCGGTAGTTTGGCACCCCTTCCGAGATAGGCATCACCAAGATTGAGTTCTTTTCCGGACCTCCCATGACTTCGTTGAGAAACCAAGACTTGTAGACCTCCAACCGTCGCAGACCCTCTCGGTGTTGCTCTTTCGTGACTCCTCTGCCCAGGTTCCACCGCCATTTCACGAAAGAATTCACGTAGGGTTCCTTGCCTCGCTTCTTCACATACCGGTCCCGGAATGAAGCCTGGCTGTGATAGAACTCGCGGTAGAAGGTCTGGACAATAACATCGCTGAGAAAGGCTTCGAGATCCTGGCCCTCACAACCTTCTGGGGGTGAATCTAGCCATTTCTGCCTTATCGAGACTCGGTCCAGCGTGCCACTGATCGAAGTCCTGAGGTCATCAACAAAGGACTCAAGATGTTCCAAATGCTGTTCATTATCCTTCGGCAAGTAGTCTTGCGGATACAGGATGCAAGAGGGTCTAGGTGTAACTCCAGCGCCTGTCGTTGATTCGAGGTGGCACCACAGCGAAGCCACTGAAGCAAATTTGGTCAAGTCTCGAGACAAGATGACTGGAGTATCAAATTGCAGAAAAGTCGGCCACATTCCTCCAAGGTCCACAAGGTCATGTGTTGGACGATATTGAAAACATCCATTGGCTGCGGCGGGACGTCTTCCACTTCCCGAGGTATCTTCTGCTATGGTAAGATCAAGCCAGTCGTAAGCAGCAATCGCAGCAGCACTTCCACTGCTGCTCCCAGCCGGAGATTGGTAGCCGTCAGCTCTTGGGTTGAACGGAGCATGGTAATCAATGGCCTCGGTCGGCTCTTCTCTTGATATCATTGAGCTGATCTTGGTCGTTCCTAGTACGTCCGCGCCAGCGTCAATGAGTCTCTTCACGCATACTGCTGTAGAAGTCGAGGGTGTACTGATGTCGTAAAAAGCTCTGTTGCATAGTGTCGTTGTCAATCCATTCATGTCGAACATGTCCTTGACTGCAATGCGCATCCCATCTAATGGTCCTTTAGAGTACCTTACTGCACGCGAAGGTGTCGCGATGCTCAAAGTCTGATACTGCGCACCAGAGATCCTCAACGGGATATACACGGTGTCGCCAACCCTGCTCTTTAGTCAGCAAAGAGTACCATGGGAGTAGTCATGGCCAACAATACTTCTTTGCCTCAGGTGGCTCTACCGCAACCATAAAGGCGCCCTGAATATCGTCATATAGCCTGGACACTTGCCACAACGAACCATCTTCAATAAGGTACGGTCCTGGCACCGGGAGGGTCACATGATGTGACCACCGCTCCAGTGAGAGAATTTTGCTGCCGTAAGACCTGACGAGATCGTGTTCATTGTGGACGTTTCCTCTTGGGTCGCCGGGCCCATCTAGCAGAAGGACATTGGCCAAGAACTCCGGCTGCAAGACGTCATCATTTTGCAAGACATAATCGACGTACGACTGTTGGCCGTCCTTCGAGGGAAACTCGGGAAATTGTCGCGGCAAGATTGTTAGCAAGGCTTTGGTTGGCCATCCTATACCGTCGGGACACTTTTCACGATAGAGATTAGCGAAATCCGCCTGCGCAGATATCAAAGACCCTCGGCTCACCTTCAATCGATGACTCGCAACATATTTGAGGTCGTGAAGCTCAAACAACAACAAGTGGCCGACCCGGTGCAGGTTCCTTGTTCTACGCGCAGCCCGCACCGAGCGCGTCATGGTAGGCAGATGTAGAGCTGAAGATTGAAATGTTTCGAAACGAGGGGTGGTAGCAACGGTGCAGGTTGTTCATTTGGCATTAGTAGTAGAGCTTACCCTATTTCCCAGCTTTTCGGTAAAGTTCGGTGCGCGTTTGGTAGGTGCGATGTGTTTGCTGGTGAGGGGTGATGCTGCTAGGTGCCACTGCAGGCCTCGACGCTCAGAGCGCCAGGCCGAAAACTGTCCGACCGGCATCACCATGACTAACAGACGGCTTGTGTGTTGTAGTGAAGTTGTTTTACAAATATTCATGTTCCCAAGTGAAATTTGGGTTTAGCCAGCACGCCAGCAAGGCCACTTTGGAAGGCAAGGCAGCCGGATCGAGAATCGAACGAATGGACCGCTGGTGTAAGACCCACGCACGTCGCACGTCACACGTCAATCTCGATACCACTACTCCACCTGTTTTACAATTGTCCAACCATCAGGCTCATCATTTCAAAGATGGCCTCAAACGAGAAGAAAGATTCCAGCAAAACTATACGGGCCTGTCAAAATCACGAATATCCTTCTATTCGAACCGGGTACGACATCGCCCGTAAAACCCTCGGGCCAAAGACTCGAGGGTGGGCGGCTTTCACGCGCCTTTGCTCGTGAACCATCCTGACGACGACCCACGCCAATCACAGCGGGATACACAACCATTGAAGAGGGGGGAAGTCAAGACGATGCGGAGCGTCACACTTGGTTGCGTGTGACGCTCCTCGAAAAGAAACAGCTCCAGGAGAATGAAGAGATCTAGTAAGAGCCAGCAGGAAATTCACCTACGAGCAGCAGTATACTTCGGCGCCGTGGAGAGAAGTACGACGATAGTAGGCGAGTCGCATTCGCCGCGTCCTATCTACGCGACGAAGCTCTACGGTAGTAGAGTCGCCTCCCTGCGCGGCCTATGGTGTGGTCACATTTTGCGAGTGCCCTACGGGATATGGTCCAGACACTGCAAACCGCATGGCAGACTCATCTCTCAAGCTAAAACGGCTACAACAAGGGACTCTCTCGTTGGGGGGACCAATCTTAGCGGTCGAGGTAGAGGACGAGGTTCCTAACCTCACAGTCAATAACAGAAGGCCTAGGTGAATTATCTACGGCCGGAGCTACGCTTCGTAGCCCTACATGAGCCACCTAAGTCGCGTACGAAACGTACGCGCAAGAAGAATACAGGCGATAGGGTGTGCTACTGGTGCGGTAAAGAAGGAACTGTACCCTGGTAAAAATAAAGCGTGATATTAAGCGCAGAAAGCTTCGCCTAGGCTCGAAGTGAGTTCTACACGCGGCTCCTGGCTATACGTAGTGCCTGAATGGTTACTGAGGAGTTGAATACAAGTTCGGGGCGATATGCGCCCCCTCTATCGCCGACTGTCCACCGTCACTACAACATGCGGCGAACGAGCGAAACGCGCACACCTGCCTTGCGAGACTACGACAGCCAGGGGCACCTGACTTTACTGCTATCCTACCGGTACGAGAGCGACAATCAAAGCGATACGGATACGAGTCGATTCAGAAGCACTCTCCGGCGGCATGGGAGTAATAACCACAAAAGGCTGCGAGCCAGCTACAAGTTGGGACAGAACGACAAGGAAATAAGCTACATTGTTGCGGAAGAGGCGGGTACAACCGTGGCGGAAGGATGTCCCCCGAGGGAACGCCCATCCATTCAAGACGCTGCATCATAACTCGAGCACACGTCTCGCGTACTCCTACCGCGCGAGAAGCCGTACTGAGTCGCCCTCAGGCTGAGCAAGGCGAATTGATCGCTCAAACCGAGCCGCAGCACACTGACCAAGTTGCCTTGTGCGACAGGCCAAGCCTTGTTCTCTCTGTCCTCTAGGCCCTCCCAAGAACACTGAAGGTGGGTTACACAACGCTGGACTGCGCACAATCGTTTGATTGTTACAATTTTCTTTAAAGAAAAAAAGAAAAAAAAAGGAAGAAAAAAAGCACATTGTGTAAATCGCTTGTCGTTACTAAAAATACCATGGCGACACTGGCACCTTCAGCTTTCCCGTCAATAACTCGCACAAGACCAGAGCTAGAATGGAAGAAAACGAGTCAGCTGTACCTGTCCGCCTGTTGAAGCCCGAGGCTAACCTTTGACAGTCTCACCACAAGATTATGCTCGTCTTGTCGAGTCTCATTCTAAGCGCTCTGCGGCAGAAACTGTCTATCCTGGAACCAACTTCGCCAACCTCGCAGCGTATTTGCTGGGGCCATATGAGAGGCACAACGCTGCGAGCTCTCATGAGAACGTGTCTGCCAATGAACCCATGGTTGACACGAGCTATGTTACCCTATACTGCTTTGGCGACCGGGGCAATAATTCGACTCATCACTTCGTTCGGTCGACACAGCTCACTAACCTCAACCTAGAAACACAGACTGATATCAAAGGGCGATTGCTCTTTATACGCGGCAACGTCGCTCCCGAGTGGCTGGCTGTCATAGGTGCTAAATTTCGCCTGGATCCGGAGTTCTTCCAGAGACATCTTGATTTCAAACATGTCATCCGACGACCCGACTACTTCTTGTTACCTACAATGCCCTCCGGGGCCAGCCAGATGACGCGATTCCGGCTCAACACGATCGGCTATGTTATGCAGCATCACAGAACCGGGCGCAGGCCCGACCAGGCCGATTTGGACATGGTTAGACATCGTGCCGAAGACTCTTGGGCTGACTATGTGGAAAGACTCGCCCGCGGCCGTGAAGGCGAGAGCAGGTCCGGGGACTCGATCGTGCGAGAATTCTCCATCCATGACCACGATCACTTTAGTCTCGAGCAGGACGTTTCGGTGCACATAACTTCCGCGGATGACAAATGGCTTGGTGAGAACATTGTGTAGAGTCTCCTCGGGTCTGCCACATGCTAACGCCATACTTCAGCAGTGGTATGGCTCGATGTAGGTCAAGCCCTGAATCTAGGTCCTGCCGAACCATGGAGCCCACAGCTATTCGGAGTCGACCCCCTTGAAATAAGCCTCCATCCTACCATTCAGCAACGTGATGGTGTGGCCTTGGGCGGGAAGTCATACATCAACGAAACGGCAAAATCTGAAGAAGATGATACCAATCATTGTCGGATCGTCCAGACAGCCTCGTTGTTGCACCTCGAGTATGACCGCCATTTGGAAGCCGACACCGTATCCGATCTTCCTATATTCGTGTTGATTGATATCCTTCGTCTCTGCGCCAACTCCGAGGTTCAACTTCTCAACATGATAGAGGCGAAGATTAGCACGGAGCTAAGTCCAGCTCGGTCACAGGCTCAGAACGAGCCCACGGTGTCAAACCTCCTATACCACAAGCGAGTATTACGTCGTCATATGCAACGACTACTCGAAAACAAAAGCTTTATCGAGACTCAAGCCAGCATGACCCAACATGATTCATTGAAACCCTGTCTTCCGAGCGGTTCAATGTCAAAGCTAGACACGATATTACATGATTTTGATTATCTACTCGAGAAGGCCAAGGATCTCGCGAACGAATGTGATCGTGGCATGGGTATCATGATGAACAAGGCAAGCATCAAAGAAGCCCAGAAGGCAATTGTGCAGGCTGAACGAATCACCAAGCTCACCAAACTTGCATTTGTCTTTGTGCCATTGTCTTTCACTTGTTCATTCTTCGGAATGAACTTCTCGCAATTTTCTGAGGACAGCGACCTTAGTCTCTGGATTTGGCCCACTCTTTCCGCTCCCATCCTTATCCTCTCAATGATTTTCATGAATTGGGATGTGGCGTGGGAGATTCGGAGATGGCTCACATGGGCTGATCGATCAAGCCAACCCCTCCGCACTTGGCTGACTGAACGGAGCTCGCGGTTCTATGCACGCTGGATTGATCGCAGGAAACTTCCCCCGGAAGTATGAGTAACGCAGGGGAGGACGGTCTGAACAGGCTGAGGATGAGCTAAATGAGACCAGGCTAAAGTAGAACCTATGGATGACGCCTAGACTACCTCTATCTTTTGACTTGCTTAACTCGGCCGGGGCTGGCGTCCGTGACTTTAAGGGTGAGGGTTTTATTGTTAGAGGCAGCAGTTTCGGGGGTATTAACTTGCTAAACATTGTCTAGCACAGTCTGTTTGTTTGGAGAAATATATCAGCATGTGTAGCTTGTATACACAGAAAAAATAGACTGTGAGGCGTAGACCCTTCAGGCACTCCTCAAGACGCCAGGGAAGCGATTAACTACGCGTTTTTAATTAGGGTTGTTCACAGATGGATTCTATGTCACAGAACGATGAAATGAGGCTGTTGATGATCAATTTAATGTTGTTGTTAATGGAAGTTGAGTTAGTTAAAGAGTGGCGGCGGCGACAAGCCGGAATGGAAAGTGAAATCGTGAGAATTAGGATCGGAATAACTAAGATCCATGGAAGTCACGTTATCTGTCTTCTCATTAGCCAATCGATAAGCGCCGGTAAGGGCAACCAATCAGAAGCGTGGCTGTTCGTTCAGTTTTGCTGGTAATACCAGCTCAGCTAAAGCTTCGCTGGATAACATCTCTATTACTTCCCTTGGCTAGATCTCGGGTGACGGCCTGCGGCAGCCATTGCGGTAAGGCTGGCATAACTCTCATAGTCGCCCTCTCGCTACCAACACACCTCGCCGATCCTGTCAATGGAAGCGTGCGATATAGAAGCCTTGCTGCCCGTGGCTGGCACTTCCTCCAAAAACCTAAGTCTCTTTGGGGGGAAAAAATGTCCTTGGGGAATGAGAGGGTCGCTGCTGTTTTCACTTTTATTGTCTTCGTCATATTCGTTTGGGACCCGTCACTCTCGGCCACGTCGTTTACTGCGGGCTCTGGCAACGGATGCCATCCATGTCTGTCGGGATTCATGAGCTGCCGGCGGCAATGCAGACATTCTGACGATGACCTTACGCGGATCTTCGTGATCGGATATACTAGGGCGGGTGGAGACGCTTTGTGCGCCGGCCTGAGGTACACAAGGGATCCGCGGCGTGCTAGCAGCAACTTTCAGTTCCTTGCTCTATAAAGACGAGAACCTATTATTCGGAGCAAAAGCAGCGCCCACATCTGGGCTGCCTAAACCAAAGGCGGATTTCCCGGCAACAATTTATATACAATGTTAGGTATTTCGGCCCCTTTGAATAGGGTACACAAAGCAGCATTTACCTATCATTTTTCAAACCATTCTACTGCGGAGAACATGCTGATTGAAACAGACGCTGAGTGAGGTCTAATGTCTATGTTGTAAGTGGACTGTCTTCGCACACTAGGTATTCACTGTTGGCCCAACGCACAAATGAGTCCAAATGCCCGAGCCTCAATCTCTCCCGCGAATATCTTCAGCTGCTGCACGATGCTCTGAGTTATAACCCGGTGTTTGGCAAACGGGGCCGCCATGGATTCGGCCAGCTCGACCAAGATGACCCATCTCTCCGGCGTTTCTGCAGATTGAAAGCTGGCTTTCTCATACGACTTGGTCGAGCTTCCTGACTGTGAGGCATATCGGTCGTATTGGAGGAGGTGAATGGCTAGGAGACTCTGGTGCTGGCTCGACAGGCTCGGCCAGACGGTTTCTGCAATCCAACCGCCAAGCTCGTCCCTCTGGCCCTGCGACGCGGGAGGCTGGAAGGTGATGAGCACTATTGTGGCGCCCGATCCCGATCCGGAGAACTGGCCAAACTCGGGCCGCGAACAAGACTGGCCGACGCGACATACCAGACGGTTCATGGACGCCATCAAGGGCATGTTTCGCTGGGTGCCGGGCGTGGGGTGGTTCAGCGCGTCCATGTACGCGGGTGAGGTGAAGACGTCCACCGAAGAGACCTCGTAGCAGACCAGGTACTGCGATTTGGCATCCTCGACCGAGTAGTAGCGACGAGCTCGTCGAAAGCCCGAAATGGCGAGACGCTCCGGGAGGTGCTCATAGGTCCACCATTCGTTGAGATCTTCTTCATCGGTGGACTTGTCTTGGACCTCTCCCCAGATGACCATCATCCCCCTCTCCCGAGGCAAGGTTGCAGCCGGCATGGCGCGAGGTGTTTGCAGTTCAGACAGCACACAGTGTCTGGATGTAGGTCGAGTGCTCTTCACCCACGGATTGCTTGGTCAGATGGACTTGAGACGAATGCTGTTCAGAATGTTTAGGGGTTTTTCCGCGTTGTCCCGACACCTTTTGTATCCGAGTCTACATGGCAAGGGGAGAAGGAAGACGAAGCGATGTCCGTGTTATTAAGAACCCCGGTTGACCAGCTGAATCTTATGCCGGGAGTGCTTACCTCGTGGTCTGGGAGAACACATCATTTGGAGAAGGAGGATCCATCTACCCCAGTCGTGATAAGGCGACCGACATAGTCTGAGAACACAGAGAGCATGGGTAGAAGTGAGGTCTCGGTATTCGGCAGTCGTCAAGGTCGGTAGTGGGAGGGATTTCCTCGCATCATTTGGGTGATCCGTCTGGGGATTGGCACAGGGAGCCAGATATTAGATCCTGGTCCTTGACTCAACGTGGAGGGGTACACCACTAGCGTCTTGGCACACATTTCGCGGAGAGAATAGCTGTTAGACACACGCCCTCTCTGCCTCTCTCTCCCCCATTTACCGAGTACCAGAATCCCACTAATTCCACCCCCCCTGTCGGTCCATCAACATCTCGCACACTCTCCGCTCCGCCTCCTCCACACCCCAGAACGCCCATCCCCAATCCAGTACCGAGTCCCTCGTACGTGCGGACACGCCACTCCATTGGAGAATTCCTCTCCCCTGCGTCGTCTCTACCGACTACCGACTGCCGCTCTCTCATCAGCCATGGACTGGGGTTGCAAGGACTACCGGTACCATCCCCCGCGTCTCCAGACTTTTGATGAGAATAGTCAGACTAATTCTCTACCGCCTCCACCGCATTCGAGTTCAGTATTTATAGCTGCTGCTCCTATCCGTCAAGTGGTGATCATAATGCCCATGCTTCTTGCTACCTGCCGAGTTTCTTGAGCATCCCTCGTCCATCGTCGCAAGACCCCGTCGAGCTCAGGATACCACCATGGCATACCAAACCAAAGAGAACTCCATCCATCTGGAGGAGGCCACGGGCAACACGGACCTAAAGGCCACCATCACCGTCGACAGCCGCCACAATGACGAGGCCATGACGGTTCTGGCCAGCTACAGCGGTCCGCAAACATGGACCGACAAAGAAGAGCAACAGGTCAGGAGGAAGATCGACCGTCGCCTCCTCCCTATCCTCGTCATCTGCTACGGTCTACAATACTACGACAAGGCCATGATCTCGCAGGCCGCGCTGTTTGGCCTTCGCACCGACCTCGAACTCACCGTCGCCAACCGCTTCTCCTTTGCCTCGTCCATCTTCTACTTGGGCTTCATCGCCGGCGCCTACCCGGCTATTGTCATGGCTCAGCGCTTCCCCATCGAGAAAGTAGCCGCGAGCATCATCTTGGCTTGGGGCATCTGTCTTATCTGCACGCCGGCATGTCACAATTGGCAGGGCCTCTTCGCGCAGAGGTTCTTCCTCGGCTTTATCGAGGCAGGAGTCAGTCCGATGTTCATGCTGGTTGTGGGCCAGTTCTACAAGAAGAATGAGCAGGCTCTGCGCATGGGGTGAGTGTATTTCTCTGTCTCTCTTTTGGTTCTTTTCACCCTTCTAAATCTCAGCGCTCCATCGAACGCAGGCTGACTGTGGGACGATAGTGTATGGTACTGTGCGTGTGGCTACGTATCCATTTTCTCGCCTTTGATCAACTACGGATTCGGGCACGTCAAAGGATCTCTGTCCCCCTGGCGCTACATGTACCTCTTTGCCGGCTCCATCACCATCCTGTGGTCCGTGATCGTCTACTTCTACCTGCCCCCTGATCCCATCCGTGCCAAAGGATTCACCGAGCGCGAGCATTTCATCGCGGTGAGTCGACTGCAGTCGAATAATTCGGGCGTCCGCAACACGCACTTTAAAAAAGAACAAATGATCGAATTGATGTTCGACCTCAAATTTTGGGTCATGTTCATGATGACCCTGTTGGCCATGTTTGCCAATGCACCCGTGTCGACGTTCACGCCTCTGATCATCTCCGGATTCGGGTTCAACACGCTAAACTCTCTGCTGTTGGTTGTTCCTGTTGGATTTTTCACGTAAGTTGTGCTCTGCCGGCGGTGACCATGATGATAAAACTGACAAAACGCTAACCTGTGTATATCAAGTGGTACCGCCGAATTAATCATCCCCTACCTCGCCTACAGGTATCCCAACATCCGGACATATCTCGTCGCGATATCTGAACTGATCACCATCCTCGCCGCCGCCCTGCTCTGGGCTCTTCCTAGAAGCGCCATTGGGGGGTTGATGTTCGGCGTGGTCATCCTGCCCTGCTTTGCCGCCGGATACGTGATTCAATTAGGTCTCCAAATCGCCAATACCGCGGGGTATACAAAGCGCTCGTTGGCCTCGTCGGGCATTTTCGTTGCCTATTGCATTGGTAAGAGTCTCTTAGAAGCACAAAACGATTGCGAGACGCACGGTACTCGCTGGTTGGCCCGGAATGGAATGCTGACGGTGGTTTCCATGGCAGGTAACTTTGTTGCGCCTCTCACGTTCAGGACGCAGGACGCGCCCGTATACGCCCCCGGACTAGCCACCGTGGTCGCCACCTCGATCGGCGTGGTGTTCTTGTCCATGTTCTACCGATTCCTCTGCGTTAGGGACAATAAGAGGCGGGACGCCACGGGCACACTCGAGGCGTTTGACCATGCTTACGAGGACGACTTGACTGATAAAAAAGTAAGTTCTGCTTTCTTCTTCGCTGTACGACCAACGAGCTTGCATGCGTGCAAGCTCGCGTCAGTTATGCTGCGTGTTGAAGATATGGATCAAAAGCTAATCTGACATATTTTCTTTCACGCAGAATCCGCAGTTTCGCTATACCTTGTAGGTGTATGAGATGGGCTGGGAATGCTGGATGATCTACCCTTCCTCTGCTAGGAGTGCACTCCTAGCGGAGGGAGAGGAGGGCAAGGACATTGTATTGCATTCTACACTGTTCGTGATGGCCATTGGCTGGTAGGCTTACGTAGCTCTGTATCAGCGTATGGTTTCTCTAGCAGGCAGCAGACTCACTGTTCTCGTCTCTCTTCTCTTGGTGCTGAGTCTCCCACACACCATACCCGATATCAAGTATCCACTCAAGTATCGACTCGAGTTCTTCTATGTATATAGCTACAGCTCGAAAGTCACTATCCCTACCTACCTACCTACCTACCTAGTATGGTCGAAATAGAGGAACCGCTGCCGGAAATATGAAATTATGGCATTAGATCTCGATTCGACTCTTCGATGGGAACTCCAGGGGTCTCAATTCTTTCAGTAGTGGTGGGCTGCTTATCAGAATGAGCTGAGGAACATATATACCTTTTTGCAAAAGACAAGTCTGAGCGTGGCAAAGGAAGGTTCTTTATTCTGTGTATATTCTGTAGACTTTGAGAAGTTAGTTATATGGTAGTTATTCCCACGGTAACCTTCCACCCACCCACCTTCGTCCCATCTGGTGCAGTAGCACATCAACCCTCCCTATACCCCTACACCCTACATATGAGTTTGCCCATGGTCTGGTTCGACTCCAACACCTCATGCGCCTTTTGGATCTCGTCCATGTCAAAAACCCTTTCGATGAAGATCTTGAACCGGCCGTCCACAAGCCTAGGCAGCGCGTGCTCGACCAGCAAGTCCCGCAGTTTCTTTTGATACGGCTCGTCGCGACTCCGGAGACTGCTCCCCTCGAACCTCAATCTCTTGCCGAGAAAAGCACTGATGTCGACGTCGCCCTTGACGACGGTCCCGCTCAGCCAGCCCAAGTTGACAATGTGGGCATCCCTTGCTCCCGCTTTCAGGTTCTGCCTGAAATAGTCGGCCCCCACAAAGTCCACGATCAGGTCTGCCCCCTTTCCTCCCGTGTAGGCAAGTAACGCATCCGCCCAGTCGCCTTCTCTATAATTGAACCCCTCGGTCGCGCCGATGGACTTGCAGAATTGAATTTTGGCTGGTGTACTCGCGGTGACATAGACAGCCGACGCTCCGGCGGCCTTCGAGAGTTGGATTCCGGCAATACTAACGCCGCTCGCCCCAGCATGCCACAAGACGCTCTGGCCTTGTTGATAGTCACCGACTAGGTAGAGCGCTTGGATGGCAGTGATCCAGGTCTCAGGCACCCCGGCAGCCTGTTCCCAGCTGAGTTCTTTGGGTTTGTGAATGAGCATAGACGTGCTCACGGCGATATACTCGGCGTATGCGCCACCATAAGCCAAACCAAAGACCTCATCTCCGACGTTGAAGTCTAGAGTGGAAGAAGGAGACCCAAAGGATTCAATGATGCCTGAGAACTCAACGCCCATAGTCTTGGGGGCTTGAGGCGGTACCGGGTACTTGCCCTCCCGCTGCAAGAGGTCCATGCGGTTGAGTCCAAATGCTTTGATTTTCACCAGGGCCTGATTCTGCGTGGGCTTGGGCATGGGTGTCTCGGCATTGATGAACAAGGCCGAAACAGGCCCTGTCTCGCCTCTGATGTCGACTGCACGCATGGTGGCCATAAGTGAAGGTTGCCTCGAGAAATCTGTTTTCGGTTCGTCAAAGTCTTTGTCTAGACCTGAAATGATGAGTGATGTAGTATTTGGCGATAGTGTACCAACAGATCGACTTGTTGGGTACTTTGGTAATCTTTTGATGTTGGCAAGTTGCCGACTTTTCACTCTGTGTCGACGGTCAGAGTCAATAACCAGAGCCAGGCTGCTGTGGGTCTGGACCCTGGCCAGATTATACAGTAGGGAGCTCGGTAGAGCATGATCTCGGCTGTCCACAAGGTAGTCTTTCGAATTCACTCCTATCAAGATAGAAGCATGCTTCCGTCTTGGTGTTCAGACTGAGACGGCTACCGGTTTGAGATCCGCTTCGGCACTCGGTAGTCGGGGCCGCGGTGGGACTTCCGAGTCTGGTATTGATAAGTGATGCGGAGCTTGCATGGCACGACAAGCGACACATGAGGTGCTTGAGCGCTAATCCTTCCTCGGCGTCGTCAGTCCAACCAGAAAGTCACTGGTACTGAAATATTTGGTCCACGAAAACATCCCCGAAGTCGAAGTTGACGAAACCATCTGCAATGAGATTCCCAGGCAAAAAGAGAGAACTGCTGTCCATCCCTTCGTTGAGACCGCCCAGAAGGTTCGAAGTACTCCGACGACCGTCGGGACCTGCGAGAGATTCGGCTGTGATGTTTTCTTCGTTGTTCGCTCCAGAATTGCCCAACCCGTCCGCTGCTGGGTGGGCGGCATGGGTGGAATACTGCCCAGGTAGAGTTCCGCCAGAAAGCTCCGCACGTTTGAGATTGCCGAGGACCAAGGCAGAGCTTGGAACCGTTGCGGACAGCTCCTGCAAGACTGTCCTGACAATTTCCAGGTTGTCATCAAACCCTTCTGCTTGGCCGGGAAATGTAGCGCGAGCGCGGATTTGTACCACTCCGGCTAGGTAACAAAACCAAGCGTTGATGGGTGCTAGATAAACAAGGTCGTTTCTGCATTGAATTTCTTCGAAAACACGGATTAGATGTGACGCGGTCTGGATGCACTCTTCGAAGGTAGCCCTGGCTGAGCTGGAGACTGGCTCCACCTTCATCAAAGACAATTGGTAGATCAATAAGCAGCCGTAGTATAAAATGTGCAACTCAGAAACCACTCGACGATATGGCCTCGAGTCTGCGTGTTGCAAAGTCAAGTCTGCCGGCAACTCGCAGACCCACGTCTCAAAGGCTTGTCCGATAGGCACGATATCTCGGTAGCTCAAGTTGGGATTGTATCGTCCATCAGCGAGTTGACCAAAAATCATGCAAAGCTTGGTCCTCTCGATGAAGATGTTATTGTCTGGATGTTCGTTGGGAAAGTCGCGTTGCGACAGTGGTTGAACGTCGGTGTCGTGCATATGAATCATCAAGGGCCGCCCATAACAGAAGGACACTAACTTGTCCTGATTCTGGAGCAACGTCAGCATCGAGTACGCAACTGGGAAGGCCATTCCTACAAAGAGATGCCACCACATCCTTCGACGGGTTCCAGCATCTTGGTTGCCGCTGTAGGTTGCTTCTCTGTGAAGACCCATGTGGATTGCATAGCGCGATGCCACCCCCAGCCAATGCCACAGACTGTCTAGGCAGATGACTGTCGGTTCGGTCATGCTTCGACTTGTCATGAGACAGAGCGCTTTGAGAACCACCACTTTATTTCGTTCATGCTCGGCAGCCAGCAGCAGCTTTGCCTTCAGGTAGTGCTTCTTAGCCGCACTCAGCTGGCTTGTTCCTCCTCGTCGGTGACCATAAGCACTTGCAAGCATGCAGACAGTGTGCACCAGCAGAGGCGACTGAAAACGCTCAAAGTCTGTTCGGTCGACGAGGGGTTGGTGGAGATGAATGTGTTCAAAGTAAGCATCAGTCAGTGCGACCACCATCATCTGTGAGGGCAAGGTTATTGCACCAGTGGCCATCAGAGCCTTCGAGTAGAACTTGGCCGTCTCTGCTTCGGTCTCGTCGTCAACCTGGAGCGCGCTGGGATTCTGGAGCATCATGCTCTCCTCTCCCAGATAGCCTACCGATCCCGGTGATGCAGATGGTTGCAGCTCTGCGCGCTCTATAGCCTCCGTCGACTGCGTGCTAGTGGCGGTCTCCCGACGGGACCGCATGTTGCGTTGACGAACTCCCACACGAGGCCTATTGATTGTTCCATCTGCTCAGAATGGTCGAACTCATTTCATGCACATATGTAAAGTCAAACCCACCTGCACACGATGTTTGCCCTTTGACAGCTCTGACATGTCCCATCGGTGCGGTCTTGCAAGTCACATTTCACCTGATCCGGTCAAGTCAATCTGTCTGTCGCCCGATTTGGGGAGAGGAACTCTTACTTTGCGCGCGTGACATTGCATGCATACCTTGGTATTGCGAGTTCGGTGGCCTTCCTTAGTCGTGGAGCCAGACATGACGAGCTGCCACTGAATGTGCACATCTGTACAAGGAAGGTTGAGATGATGAGATTCGAGAGGTTGTAACTTGTCAGCCAACGATAAACATATATTACATACTGTATGTACACCTGAAGACGATGCTGGCTCCAACTGGGGCGACAGGGATGACAACCTGAGGTGTAAGTGAACATAATACGGCAGGTTTTCCGACTCTTCAAGCTGCTGATGAGCCGAGGTGAGTAAAGCAGCGAAAGGCTAAACTAAAAGGGGAGACGAGCGACAGGGACGAAGTGTTTCGTTCATCACTATCATGCACTTGTAGTTTGATCGTGGCGAAGTCTGTATGGCGAATTCATCTGCTGGTGCTTTGTTGGACGACCAAATTTGGCCGATTCATCATTCAATTGCTGGCACGAACGATCTAATCTAATAGGTGTCCCTATTTGACAGCAGCGCCATCAGCGTCTTCTACATACTTATAGAAAGAGTGCAAGGGTACTTGAACCCCTCCAGCTTTCCATGCATTCGATGGACCCAATGTGGCGATTCACCCTAGCTCCCCACACCGCGTCACGGCGTATGGCTGTACCAGATCCTAGCCGAATATACTATCGACCATCATCTCAACTTGATTATCATGAGCTTCCTGGTTCAAATCGGTAAATATTGCTTTTTGAGCGTGTGTTGCGGCCTCCTGGACTCTGCGTGGTGGCCTTCATAACTGAGCGGACGGAATTGACACCATTGTTTTTTCAGTGCCAAAACAGGGAGGTTATATCGACGAATCGAAGCAGATGAAGGACCATTCAAGACCCGCCAATACCTAGGACATCCAAAATTTTCTCGAAATCCGGAGTGCCAAAGCCGCTTGCAACGTCCCATCCTTTGGAAGCGCTGAATCCGGACCCATCGCAGCCTACACTGCTGCCATTGACAACATCAGTGAATGCCGCGAAGCCTTTGTCGTAGAGCCAAGGATTGAGCCAGCCCATAGGGGGTTTGCCTGCTGCAGCGAGGGCGTCATTCACCAACGAGAAGATGCTGGCCACGGTTGGGGCAGAGCAGCTCGTGCCATCGACACTTCGGATAGTTTCGCCTAGAAAGATGAGATACTTGTACCCCTGAGCCGCCACATCAGGGTACGCGCGACCCGATCGATTGTACAACCCTTTGAACTTGTCGCCAATGGTATCGAGGTATCGCTCCACGGATGTGTTTTGCCATTTCGGTCGAGTAAAATAATTGCTGAAACCGGATCCAGAGGCAAACGAATTCTGGGTGTCGAAGGCGACAACTTCGGGATAGTTCATTGTTCCGCCGACACTGGTAACGTACGGACAAGAAGCTGGGAAAACAGGAACGAATGTAGTTCGATTCAGCCCGTCATTGGTGATACAACTGGAGTTATCGCCTACACCAGAGTCCCCGGAGCTGAAGAACAGCGAGATCCCCTGAGCGCCCAGGGCCGCAAACTGATTGCACACGGTCTTAGCGTAGCTCTGCGGTACAGTCTGTTCATGGTCGCCATAGGAGGTGGAAATCACTTTGGGAATGGTGTTGATATCTTGGTCGCGCAGGAAGAGAAGCCAAGTCAGGTAGGGCTCATTCGTATTAGTTTGGACAAAGTCATCGGGCAGAAAGGGGGGCTCGCCGCCGGTAGAGTACAAGGTGACAGGCGTGGGATAGACAATACCAAGCATCGTCTGCAGGTCAAGGTTGCCTTCTAAACCTGCCTTTGATGTGGCATTGTCAACAGGTCCACCATTCACCGAGACTTGAGTGATAGCGTAGGCGGAGTCGACTGCATCAGGACGGAAGTTTCGCAAAAAGGTCTGAGCATCCGATCGGTTCGACACTTGGCCCAGATAATTGGTGAAGCCGACTGAATTATTGTGGGCAGCTTGAGGCTTGTAATTGACGGTGTTGTACAGGGTCCTCAGGCATTTAGGTGTCATGCCACCGAAGTTGCAGGAGCTTTTGATGGTTGTAGCATTGGCGGCGGTTGTGACTTGGGAAATGTCAATGTCCGTAGGAACATCAATAAGTGTGCTAGATTTGGGATTGGCTCGAAGGAACGCAGTGGTGGGCTGAATAGTGGTCACATGGTCATGAAGCGAGCGTGGGAGAGACCAGCTTGTGGTTCGAATGAGTCTGGTACCATCTTGGTGTTGGTAGATGGAGTACTTGGTGTCAAGTAGTTCTTCAGCTTTATTGACAGGGAGAATAACCGTAACCCAATCTCGAGCCGAGTTGACTTGACAGTGAGACGGGTCAATGCCATTGTCAGCCAGCCAGTCTTGAACTAGTTGGTACGTCTCATCAGACGGTCTAAGAAGGTCGTGAACTTCTTGTTGGGACAGATGTTGGCCGTAGCGTTCGTGGGATGGGTTGGAGACTGGAGTGTGGTTAGATTAAAGATTGCAGAACAGCTCTCCGATGCATGTCTAGGACGCGGGCTTACCCTGATGGAGGTGCTGCTCGAGGAGATCGAAATTATTTGGCTGTAAGCCGATGTTGAGGGTCAAGAGATGGAGAGGATGAGGGACGCCAACATGTGACCACGCGGGAGGGACGTTATTGGATTCCTTGACGTTGTAATCGGAGCGCAGATGTATTGGTGAAGCACTGGCCCATGACAGTGCAGCGAAAGCAGCCAAGAGGATGGAATGGATGAACATAGCGAGTGTGAAGGGCAGAAATTACCAGGTACCTAGTTGGCAGGGCAAAGAGAAGGCAAAGAAGAAGCGAGCGAAGTAACGAGTGGAGGAGGGGGAGGAAAGAGGAGGAGAGGGAGAGAGGAGGGAGGGAAAGAAGGAGACAACGAGGTGGATGAACGCAGTTGTATTAATTATTATGTGCTCAAAAACTTTTGTAGATATTTGGGTGAATGTTGAGGAAAGTGCAGATGATGAGGATTTTTAAAAGCGAGAGGAAGGTGCAATGACATGACCAGGGGTATTTAGGCACGTACGTGGTACCTGCATCTATCCACCCTGTGACCAGGACATGTTATAGGTAGTGAACACCCTACAAGTCAAGTAGGTACCTACCTAGGCGCTTAGGTACATACTTTAGGTACCTACTGGTAGCTACCTAACTACTCGTAGGTCCTCGTGCTTGCAGTCACCCAGATTGCCGTGGTTGCCGATATGCAAGACACAGGAAAACGCAGCTGCCCAGTCATTATTGGCTGCGCTCCTTCCCGAGCTCATCTCCGATCCAGCTGTTGTGCGACGGGAACTACGTCACTGGGGACCGGCAATGACGATCAGCCCACCGGCTCCGACAACGCCAAGTCGCTAAACTCTTAGTTTTGGTGGCTTAGCATACTTTAGCATCAACTGGCCTCTTGGCATATTCAAGACGTTCACGTGCCAACTCTGACACTTGAACCGAGGCCCCTTACAATCAAGTGTCAAACATTCCTTGGCCTATCGAAATCCAACGCAGATCAAAGCCTCATCCCCTTTCTCTTATCAAAGCATCAAAGGAGAGTGAGCAACGCCGAGGATCACAATGCACCGTAAGAAATATGTTCATTTCAATACACTCGAGCCCATCAAACCCCTTCTTCGAGCCTATACCCTTGGCTATCTCACCGTCACGACGCCCCGGCTCTTTGCCTTCTTGAGAACCGTTCGACGCAGCCATCTGCAATCTCGAGAGATCCTTTCCACCCTACAGAAGATCCTCATCACATCCACCCAGATCAATCGGTTCCCGACTGCAGCTGCTGTCATTGTGGGCGGAGCAACTGCGCTCCCGCACTTAATTCAGGCATGTATTGACTATGTCCTGTCATCACAGCGCAGGGGTACTACACGTCTCAGTAATCGTCTTGCCGCATTGATCCGCTTCTTGTGCACCTTTTGGTCGGCATGGCTGGCATTTAGTCTGCTCAATCGGGATGAAAGCTGGGCTAGAAAGCGTGCGATATCTCAGAGTAATACGACTATCTCAACCGGTGCTCCTCGTACATCGGCTCTACATCAACCACCCCCACCGCCCTATCATCCTCGCTATGCAGGCAAGACCATTGACTTTACGGCGTTTGCCTTCTGCCGCGCGCTGGATGTTGCAGTGATAGCTCTTTGGACTCGAACTAGAAGTCGATCGTGGCATCCGGAGCAACGCAATCCACGTCTCGCAAACTTCACCCGCAAGATTGTCGATCCCTCAGTATTCGCTGGTTCCGCTGCGATCATTATGTGGTCATGGTTCTATTCGCCCGAGCGACTCCCTCGCTCGTATAACCACTGGATCTCGAAAGCGGCCGACATCGACCCTCGTCTAATCCAAGCACTCCGTTTAGCTCGACAAGGTAATTTTGTCTATGGCGAGGATACAGGGCAAGCAACGCTTCTTACAGGCCTTTGCCAGGAGCTGAACCTTCCCGATGAGTTCGCCGACCCTTCAAAGACCATTCCAATACCCTGTGAGCTGTATCATTGTGGGACAGGCAAGAGTTGCGAGATTCATGCGCTTTCTAGGTTTTGGAGGGGTTGGAAATTTGCTATGGGCATATACTTGCCTCTTCAAATACTGACGATTTTACGTTCACCGAAACCCGAATCCGTCCTGAAAGCTCTTCGAGCTGCAGTGAGGTCCTCGTCCTTCTTGGCTGGCTTTGTGGCATCATTCTACTATGCTGTCTGCTTGGCTCGGACTCGGCTTGGTCCAAAAGTCTTTTCGTACAAGACCGTAACGCCCCAGATGTGGGATTCCGGGCTATGTGTTCTGGCAGGCTGCCTTGCATGTGGATGGTCTGTTCTTCTGGAGAAACCGAGTCGGCGACAGGAAGTTGCCTTCTTTGTGGCCCCAAGAGCACTGGCAACCGTTCTTCCTCGCGTTTACGATCGACAATACCGGCACAGGGAACAAGCCATTTTTGCCACGAGCATTGCCACCGTATTGACAGCGTTGACCTCGGGCGATCAGCGGAATGTCCGAGGAGTGCTTGGAAGAATTTTGGCTCGCGTCGTGAAAGGCTGAAAGTCACGTATGCTTATTCCTTTGCCTTGATCTTGGTCGCTCGATTGATCCAATATGGCCAAAATGCTCGACATCAAACAGATTCCATTAAAAGCACCATATCCTGTTGGACGACATGACACCTGCAGCAGCGTCATGGGCAAAGGGCTGCTATATTCATTTCTCCAGTTCTTCCTTTCTGAATCTACCCGACTGTATCGTTCAGGGGCGAGAGCCTTGTTGAACTTATGTCAGCAGTTCGGAATCTGCGCGCGCATGGCCCTGATCAGTACGGAGGCATAGTCCCGCGCTTAAATTTCTGGATCTCTTCGGGAATATTCACTCAGAACACCTTGCAGACTGGCAAACAAACAACAAGGAAAGACAATGCGCGTCATGGATAATTGCAAACTCTGCCCAAGGTTATGAAGTGCGTTGCCATTAGTATCCCGATCTTGTATTGTCAGAAACCCTGAAAAACGTCCACTAGGCTTGGGCAGAACCTAGGAGCATTCATGGCGCTACCCCGTCACCCACTCTGACCACAGCGCGCCTGTTTGATCTACGCGGGTCTGCAAGATTGCCTCGTCGTCCTTTAATGTACGAGTCAGTGGAACTCGCGCCGGAAGATCTCATTGGCGATCCTCCTGTCAATCCTGCAGATCACTGTCTCACAAATGCCGATCTCAGCGATCTCAGCGATCTCAGCGTTCACATGAAGGAACGCTACGCCAGACATCTACTAGCCTGTTGGTATCAGGACATGGCAGGGATTGTCCTATTCACCGCGCTATTTGTGTATTTCAGACTACCTGATAGATCAGCCTGGTCAATTTCATCAGTACAACGAATGACCAGAGACCGAGTCGACGACATTACAGAGGGGAAGTTGACGGTTGCATACTTCATTAAAGCATTTCCAATCCAGGTTCGAGAAATCCGCGATAGTGTTGGACAAGAATAGAAGGCTGCTCAAACAGAGTGATGCTCGAATCGGGTCAAGTCCTTTCCCTCGAGGATACAAGAGATGATACCGCCGTCTTTGCTATTGATGTCGTGAGTAGCGACTCGAGACAATGATAATATATGTCCACTAACTATACAATATACACTCATTATACACCTGGTTTCTTCGACAAATTCCAATTCTCAGGATCTCCATATAAAATACCGATGAAGTGTTAAATCCATGGGTATATATTGCTGGGATCGAGCCAACCACGCACCGTCAGCCGAGTCTTAGTGAATCCGAAACGTCTGAAAGTCCGAGATCAGCGAGTTCACCTGCTGCATGCTCGTCTCGTCGTATTTGTCGAGCAGGGGCCCATGGCTCATTGGCGTCTCATTGCCCGCAGCACGAGCACTCAGGGGACTCTGGGGGTATTGCGCTGCCACCGTCGTGATGGTGGTGCTGGTGGTTGTGCTGGTCATCGTCTCGGTGGGTTCAGGAGCCGCAGCACCGGGATCAAGTGGCGGTGGTGCTGAGAGACGCTCGACCATCAGCTCGGCCAGGTACCAGTATTCATTTGCGTGGCGCATGAATCCCACGCGGCGCCACATCTCGTCTGGGCCGAGATGGTCGAGGTCGAGGTCCCCCGCGAGGGTGGCGTGCTGCGGCTCGCGTGCGAATCGGGTCAGGTAGACGTGCCAGACTCGGCGCCAGGAGCGCAACGCGCGGTGGATCGGGTCCAGCGTGCCCTGGCAGCTGAAGGAGCTCTGGTGGTGGAAGATCAGCGAGTGCAGCGCCGAGGTCATGGCGAAGAGGTTCAGCGGGCCCAGGTCGGCCAGGACCACGCTGGCTTCCTCGTCGAGGTCGGGCCGGTAGAGCAGCTCAAAGGCCGCCGTGAAGTCGCCCGAGACCTTTGGTTGTGTGTTACTTTGTCGTTGATGCCGGTGTTGCAGAGCCCTGAAGCACTCCTCCGCCGTCAAGGCCTGGAAACACGCTTCGGGACACGCGGCATTCATCCTCATTTCACGAACCACCATCCGCGGCGGCAGGTTGTTGAAGATGACAAACGCCGTGTCGAGCAGAAACACCCACAGCAGCACGCGGATCAACTCCTCGACGACGGCAAAGTTTTCGAAGGAGAAATCGCAAAGGTCCATCTGGCTGTAGTCAGGGTGTCGGGCATTGCGGATCCCCACGTCCCGCGCCGCCGCGATGACCATGCTGAACCGCTGCCGCCGGATCCGCCGCTTGCTGGACGTCGTGCCCTCCCAGTTCTGAAAGAGGCAGACCATGTACGAGGCCTGCAGAGCCCTGATCTTCCGTCGCCGCCACCGCAGTTCGCCGTCGCAGTCGCCACGGGCGAGTGTCGCGCTCGGCGGGTCGTCGCAGAAATCGTCGTCGTCAAAGACCATTTCCTCGACGCAGTTGAACCACCGTTTCGCGTTCTCGGCGTCGTTATGGTCCGGAGAGACACAGGCACCGATCAGAGCCATAGCCGCCAGAAGCTCGGCTTTGGCCGTCGTCAGGTCGAACGTGGGTTTGTGGACGATGTTCACATTGGGGTGCCACACCGCCCAGTACAGCTGCACGAACCGCCGGACATTGGCGGGAAAGAAGAACTGGGCGCAGGTCTCGTGGATCGAGGGTGACCACGACAAGGTAATGTAGCTCTTTCGCGACTTGTGCAGCACGATGTTTCTGATCGAAGTCACGATTTCGTGGCACTTGAAGGCCAGCGGATCGGAAAGCCAGCGGCTTAAGCTGGTATTCCCCACGACCGATGGGTTGCCTTCCCCGGCTGCATAATAGCCGAGGCCAAGGCCATCTCTATGTGTGTCCGTGCTGTCTGCCCTTATCATCTTGGATTGTGTCGCCGAGCACTTCTCCAGACCACCTAGCTTGGCAGTGTCAGAGTTGTGGTGGTGGTAGTAGGCGTTGACACGGCGCCGTTGCTCCAGCGTGCCGCAGTCAAACGAGGACACAAACCCGGTGGTACTGGTGAAAGTGTCGAGGAAGCACAACGAGTCGATGTCCTGGTCTGTGGCGCTCTCGGCTGGGTGGCCTGCGTGCGGAGTTTGTGTCCCGGAGTTGTTGAAGTTCAGGAAATCCTGCCACGCGTCATCGAGACCGTGCGCCGGCGCCGGCGAGAGCCCACATGAGATCCAGCCCGTGATGTGCTCGAAAGTGTCGTCAGGGATGTCAACGGGGATGAGACCCGAGTCGTCGTCGTCTGTGATTGGCATATCAGACCGCATGGTAGGAGGACGTAGGAACGACAAGCCCGGGTCTTCCTGTGACTGGGACAAGGCTAGCCTCTTGGGGTGGGGCTCCTCGAAATCCGACGTGGCATCAATGTTAGCGTCAGCGACCGTCTCACACGTCTTGAGGTGCCTTTTGAGCACGTCGGAGCGCTGAAACGTGCTGCGACAGAGGACGCACACGTAGGGCCGTTCGCTGCCATGCGAGAGCTGGTGGCGACGCAGATGCTCGGCTCGTTTGTACGACTTGGAACACGTCGGACATACGTTCAGGGTCAGAGGATCTGCCATGGCATGGCATGGAGGCTTTGCGCAGGGTTGAGTATATTGGGTAAAAGAGTCAGGGGAGGGAGCTATGGATTGGGGAAGAATGCAGTCTTATCTCTAAGTCATTTCTTATAGAGCCGGCACTCATCGGGTGAAATGTCCAGAGAAGCCAGATCCAATTTGTGTGTTGCAGCTTCACGTCAGTCATTTGCATCTCGGCAAATGTTCTCGGTTCCCCGGAAACGCGGAGCCCCGCACAACCTGATTGGTTTGGGACAAACCTACGAGGTACACATCTTTCTCCTCCTCCTCCTCTTCTGCCACAGCATCGAGATCGGGATCAAAAGCTACAATGTATCCAGTCAAGTGCAGCAACAAACAAGTCCAGATCCGCTACAAGGATCTAGCTAAGGCTGCGCAGGGCTCAACCACTGTTTGCTCAGTGGATCCAGGCACTCATTCTCTGCCTTGTGCCACTCTTCCCGCACGATCCTCTCCCTCTCCGCAGACCGCGACGTGATCTTTGCCTGGAACTCTTCGGGCATGCACACGAACCCCTGGGTCAGCCTGTCCTGGTCCGGGAGGAGCTTGTTCCCGTCGGCGTCCACGACCGGCGCGACGTCGAACGCCCACAGGATCCGCGAGATGCCGAGGAACAGGCTGCGCTCGGCGACGTGCATGCCGGGACAGATGCGCCGGCCGGCCCCGAAGGTGAAGACGTCGCGCTTGCCGGCGTCGGCGTTGGCGGCCGAGTCGTACAGACTCTGCGTGTCGTGCATGTACCGCTCGGGAACGAACTGGCGTGGGTTGGGGTGGCGGTTGGGATCCATGTGGATGGCCCAGACGTTGTTCATGACTCCCGCACCCTTAGGTATGAGGTACCCCATGTATTCGTCGTCTTTGGTCACGGCATGTGGCACCGCCCCCAGGATGGTGGTCGGCATCCACCGGAGTGTCTCCTTCATGCACGCACGCACATATTGCAGTTTCGACTCATCATCCATGGTTGGGAGACGGTCGCCGACAGCTTTGTCAATCTCCTCTTGCGCCTTCTTCTGCGCTTCCGGGTACAGGAGCATGGCCTGGATGAAGCCATACAGTGTGCTTGAAGTGGTGTCCGACCCTGCTTCCAGGAGTGTCCCGGATATGTATGCCGCTTGGTCGTCACTGAACCCCTCGGCCTTCTGGGCCTCGGCCATGCCCACACAGAAGCACGGCTTTATCGTCCCGTTCTTGATGTCCTCCTTCGCGTTCAGCCAGTGTCTCAGGTACAGGGCCTTCTCGTGCTTGTGCAGCGTCTTGGCTTTCTTCTGCGTCGGGAGCAGGAAGTCGGGCAGGCTTCGCAGGATAGGGTAGAAGTCGATCAGCCCCGCAGCACCGGTCTGGTTGATCTCGGCGAATTCGGAGAAGCCTTCGAAGAGCTGCTTCATGTTGGCGTCTTCGTATGTGGGTGTCCTCCAGCCAAAGACCATGGTGGTCGTCAACGCGTTCGAATACCTCCTGATGTGCTTGAGAAAGTCGTCGGGCTGCTCCAGGAGCTGGTACAGCATCTGTTTGTTCTCGAGCATTTGGTACGGAATGTAGGATTTGGATGTGTTGACGTTGAGCAAGCCGTGGATCATTTTACGGAACTGACAAGCGGTGAGTCAATGTATATGCTTTCAGGACAATCACCTGCCACTTACGCCTCTCCATACTGGCCCGTATCTCTTGACAAGCAGTTAGCAGCGGTTCGAGCATCCAAGACGATTGGTTCAACGCACCATCATCAGCAACCTCAAGCCTCCACTGCACAATGTCTGGCCGATATACATGTCCAGCCTGTCCGAGTATATGCCGCTTCGTCTGTCAAGAAGCTCCTTCACGGCTTCGTCACTCGATAGTATGATCAATACTTGCGTGCCGAGCATCAAGCTGTAGATCGGACCATATTCGCGCGCCCACTTCTCGAATTGTAAGTGTGCATCCCGGGTTGGCATCTAGAGACCGCAAGCGAGTCGGTTAGATTCTGGCAATTCCACTGGCGAAGTAACTCCAAGTACCTGGTGAAGATTGCCCAACAGTGGCAGCGTAGGAGGGCCGGGAGGGTAGCCCTTGGGCCTGCGGCCTATGGATAGTAGACGTATGGCGCCGACTATCAGGGCCGCCACAGCCAGCAGAAAGTACATGCCCGGCATGATGTCTGGAGCCTGAAAGAATATCCAGCACAGTGAGAGACTAAGTTGCGTGTTATGACCGACGGCCAGGGACTGTGCGACTTAACTATAAATCCTCCCATTGAGGAAGATGTATGTTGGTCACCCATACCCTTTTAGATGGACTTCTATTGGTCCATGCTAATCGTGTAATCGAATCCCGATCGGGATCCGCTAAGTGGGGAGGTGGGATGCCCAGGGACAAGCCAGAGTTGCGGGGGTGGGGGTGGGATGAAGACCTACAACTAGTCAGAACAAGTTGTATTGTGCGGAGATGGCGGGAGCAGAAGAGACT